CCTCCCTCCCCCCCCCCAGGTGGGATGACTTCTTGCTTTCTGTCTCTACGTCTTTCTCTGTCTCTCTGGCAAGCGCATGTGCCCTATGGCAAAAACCTCTCCAAAAAAAAAAAAAGAGGCCTCTGCAAACTAGACTGAACAATGGGCAGAGAAAGAGAAGGAAAATCAGGGTAGGATTGTAGCTAAAAGAACCAAGTAAAGAGGATGAGGAATAGAGGACACATTTACAATACCAATATGCTAAGAGGTCAAATGAGATAGAGGCTCAAAGAGCCTCTGGATGAAGAAACCATTCAGCCACCAATGAGTGTGGTAAGAGTAACTTCAGAGGAGAGTTGGTGGGAGTTGTATTCCAGTGGACTAGGCTGAAGAAGGAGAACTATTGTCAATGATTAACTCATGAATCAAAAATACTCTCAGCCTGGGACCAACAGTTAGTGTAATGGCTATGTTGCTGGACTCCCATGTAATCGACTGCAGTTCGAGTCCCGGACCCAGTGGTTTAAACTCACGCCGGGCACATGTGTGTGCGTGCCCAAGATCCCAAGAGGAGAATGGAGAAGGGTTTGCAGCGTGGTCATCCCCCCTGGGGGATGATTTCTTACTTTTTGTCTCTGTCTTTCTGGAGAGTGCATGCACCCTATAGCAAAAACAAACAAACAAACAAAACTCTCAATCTGGCCCCTTAGTGCAGCAACTCAGCGTTGTGCATAGGGAGCTAGATCTCACATGGCCTACTGTAGTTCAAGCCCTGGTGGCTTGAGAAGTATGCTGGACACATGTGGTTGCATGCCCCAAATCCTGACAGGATGGAAAAATAATTGCAGCATGACCATACCGCATCGGGGGATTCTTTCTTTCTTGTGCTAACGCACGCACTAGTGCACGCGCACACATGCGCATACCCTCTGACAATTGAAACAAAGAAACTCTCTAGTAGTGTTTTACCCTTTTCAAATTCTTTTAAGATAATTTTATTAAGAATGGCAATTTATTCAATTCATTAGTAAGCATACAGTAATTTTAGAATTCAGGATGAAAGAACTGTTTTGTTTAGCTCTAGATTTCTTAAATGTTATGTTTAACCATTTGCAAGTGAATGATCCTAGTGACAGACATTGTATTGACCTATATCTGCATGGACTAAGCACTCTTAGCAAACATCCTGGCAAGAAAGGAAGGAACAATTTATTCTTCCTCTAAATGATTATAGAAGTGTATGCCTTCTTAGATATAGATCTTCTAGATGTTGTCTGGATTAGTTGTCAAGCTATGTTGAATAAAAACTTAGCTATAAAACACGTACATGCCACAGAATACAAAGAAAATGGACAAAAGAAGATACATGATTTCCAATTTAAAAAGTCATATAAAAGGCCTGGAAAATTAAAGAATTTCCTTTTTAAAATGTCATTAAACTATACTTCGAAAAAGTTAAAATATGAAACTGTTAACGGATGGGAAAGTGTTGAGCTGCGTTGTGAAATCCTTGGTTCTTTGGGTCCAGATCACTAAAATTAGAGATCTGTCCCTAGGCACAAAATGAAACTGCAACTACAAATGAAGTAGGTAGAAAAGAAGATTTAATAGAATGAAAGGTGAGGAAAGAAAGGAAGTACACCCAAAGAGGTTGTTAGGCGGGCAGATTGCCAGGTGGCAACCGCACTTGGTACTAGTTAACCGTTATTTTTATTACTAGAGATCATGAATATTCATTAGTGGGAGGCTCCTTACGCTGCCTATGTCCTTCCTTTGAATTTGAATCCTCACGTTCTTCTCCTGCACCTGTGCACCTTCCTCACAGGTAAAGAATGAGGAACTTGATCACCTAATGGCGCACGCCCAATGTGAGCCAGGTTGTCCCAATTAGACTGCCCAATTAGTCCATCACCCTAATGGGAATTAGGGCATTGACCAAAACGCTTGCTTAGGTCTTTTTGATAAGAGAAAAATCTACGAATCATCCCTGTGTGCTTCCCTCAGGCCTCAAGGAAGGAAGATGGCAAATTGCCTCGCCCTCCTGGTGCCTGGAGCTAGAAGAGCCTTTTGCTTTTCCCTTAGGGCTGCCCACTCATGGCTGACTAACTGCCTACCACAAAACTTCAGACTTTTTAAATCTTTTTTTCTTCTTGTTTTGCCTGAGGGCATGTGCGCTTAACAGAGAGAGAGAGGAGAGAAAGAGAGAGGAAGCATCTCCCAAGGATATAGGATATGTCGTCACACCACAGTCTCCTTTCTTCTTTCTCTTCACTCTATCAGGGTTTAGGGCACACGTACGTGTGTCCGACATGTTTTTCAAGCCACTGGGGCTGGGATTTTAACAACATAATTGCTCATGTGGAATCCGATTCCCTTAACCACTAAGACCAACCCCTACGTGTATTTTTAAAATGTACCAAATTTGTAACAAATGCACTGAACTAAAGTTGTATTTTTTTCATGACTATATACAGGGCTGTACAACCCTGAAAGATGTATTTACATTAAAGATGTATTGACATGTCCAGGATGGCATGCTTCTCGTGTGTTTGTAATTCTTTCTCTTCTATTCTCATTTCCTTTCTTGCCAGGTTGGCAGCACAAATTGTCTATTAAGCTCAGTGGAAACAAGGTGACCCAAGGGAGCATATTCCTCCGTATTGGTGGGACAATTGGGAAAACAGGGGAGACTGTGATATTCAGGTAAGTGGAGCAAGGACTTGGCGCCTGGCACCGTGTGGGACTCAGTAATGGTTGGGTAGACTGGCTCGCTGAGCTGCTCAGTCTTCCTTTTCCTGTAATACCACAGGCTACCAAGTTATCTTTGGCTCTTCTTTTTATTTCATGTTTTTCAGATAGAAGGTAGAAATCATAATATCTATTTTCTCCACAGTTCCAGCTAGTAATTAAATAATTTGGAAATTATGGCATGGAAACTTAAATCTAGATAATAAAGCATATGGGAAAAATTGACAGAGTACACGAGATATATTTTTAAGCTAATCTCATTTAATACTATACTAATTTGAAGTTATATTTTTATTTGTATAAGTCACAAATTACTTATAAAGTAGAATATTTATACAAATGCTAAATTTCTAATATGCTATGTGAGTCATACCCACAAACATGGGACACATAGAACAGTCAAAGGAGGAATAATTCAGCCCAGATGTTCACTATGTATCTTTTGCTAGAATCCCCTGTATCTTGAGTTTCCTTAATCTTTTGTTGATCAGCCTTGGCATTTTTGTGTTCTATATTTCTCTTTCATTGTTTAATTCTGTAATTTATTTTAGAGTTAACATTATACACACTAATTCAATGCTATCTTTTGCAAACAGATGAATGGATTAGATATTTTCCCTCTATGAATTTTATCATCTTCAAATAGTGGACACAGCACAAAAAGCAGAGATTTTTGTGGTTGTCAGATGAGGGATGCAGCAGTTTAATCATTCTGACATAGTTTCTGCACATCATCTTGTCTTAGTACAATAGTCTGTAAATATAAGTTTAGTGGATGATTGTCTCGATGCTGGTTGACGCACAGGCTCCAGCCACCTTTCTAGACACCTCCTACCATCTTCAGATCAGCTGTTTGCACTATCTAGGATTGAATAGATCCCACTTTTTTTCTCTTTCTGAGTTCATACATACTGTTTCAATGTTCCCAAAACTCTTCCTGGTCTTAGCAGGCATCATTTTTATCTGTTGTTTATGGCTTCCATCAGCAGCCCTCTGACGGCAGTTTAGTGAAATAGTGTACCAAGGGCTGGGAGGCTTACAGGACATGGGCTACAGTGTGTGGCTGGTGCTCTACAGAAAGGCATCTGACCTGAGGCAGGTGGTGGTGAATGTGCAGTTTCTTTCCTTTCTCAGATTTGTAGGAATGTTTCCATATCTCTCTGTTCTTTTAGTAATGTCTAAAGAAGCTGTTTGTAATGTTGCCTAGCTTCTAATTCCACTCTTAAGAATAATTAAGCATTTAAGATTCACAGCAGCTTTCTCATCTTAAAACAAAGTCAGCTGAATGAATTTGCATCTCAGTCTATTCCTGTTCTTAAGTCAAGCTTTGAGAGTCCAGCTTCGCCGTAGATTATATCTTAGGTCCTTGGACTTCACTGACTCTTTCATGAAGGGCTGCATTCATTGTGTGAATGCTGAGTGAAGGCAGTCATGGAATGACAGAAGATTACCCTTAAGAATGTGGAAGAAAAGCTGCCTTCTGATATCTAAGTCAATTAGTTCCATCAGTAATGGAATACAACCAACTCTAGGAATAGCTACATTCATTCATTTATTCATTCAATAAACATGTTAAGTGCCTACACTGTGGAAGAACCATTCTGATTTCTGTGGATATAGACCCAGATCTTACTCATGGAATTTTCAGCCCAGTTAGAAAAGATGAAGAAAAGAAGGTAGAGTCATATATTAGGAAACAACAAGGGAGTAAGTTTAGACTAGACTATAGCTTAAATAGTCACTAAACTTAATTTATGTTATTGACATGACCAAAAATGGACTGTGTCATCAGAAGGAGGATGTTTATCAATGGACATAGATACTGGGAGACAGGTAACACTTAGGGAGGTAGGAAGGTGTTGGTTTGGGTGCCTTGAGCAATCTGAGCTGTAGAGAAGGTGTTTTGCATTGTGAATACGGGACATTTCACCTGGTTTCTTTTGGCTTGGATAGAATACACTTTATGCTTGAAGATAATCCACATGTCTCTGATCTATTGCTCTGCTCACCACAATGTCTTCTGATCACTAGTTTGGTTACCCAGGAAAAGGGTAGGAATGCATTCTGGTTAATGAAAAGGAAGCATTTCCCCCATGATAAATAGGATTCTTGTAAACTAGAAGATCAGCCATGTGTGAATGTAACCCATCATTGAAAGTCTCTTCATTTCCCAGTGTCAGTAAAATCTAGTTCCTGACATTACAAAGCTAAGACCAGATTTTTCACTATGGAGAACTTAATCGCAATGATGCCTTTCTAGGTATACCCTAAAAATTAGCTAGCCTATCTTCCCATTTACCCAACCCTTTTTTCAAACTTTATAACTACATTATTCTGAGATGCGAGTCAAAGTGGATGGGAAGAATAAATCTGCAAGCAAATACAAGTTTAGCTTTCATGGTACACATGTAGATGTGTTGTTTTTTTCCACTTCAGCATTGTGAACACTCAGGACAAGCTAAGGAGTCTTAGGAGTCTTACTATTTTTCTGTTCACAGTGGAGAGCTTAAGCCAGGGATGATTTATACAAAACTAATCGATGTGGACATGAATGTTGGAAACATTACAAGTATAGAGTTCATTTGGAACAAACATTTGCTCGGATATTCGCAGGATAAGTTGGGAGCAGAAATAGTGACAGATATATCTGGAAAATACGGATATAAGTAAGTATTACTTTTTTGTTTCATTTTCGAACGTAGTTTACATTTTATAAATGGTATTTAAGCCCCTATGTAGTTTGAAATTTGCAACTAGCAAGAACATTTTTATACTTTGAAATTTTGCAATTAAGAAAAGGGAAATTTTTTTCAATCAATGCTAGATTTACAGAAGTGTTTAGAAAATAATAAATGCTCATTAAACCAGAAGATCTGCCAATTTCTTTTCTTTTCTTTTTTTTTTTGAGAGGTTTTCGCTATAGGGCACATGTGCTCGCCAGCCAGACAGAGAGAGACAGACAGACAGAAAGTGAGAAATCACCCCCTGGGGGGATGGTCACCCGCAATCCCTTCTCCTCCATTCTCCTCTCGGGATCCTGAGCACGCACGCACACACGCCCAGCGTGAGTTTTAAGCCACCGGGTCCGGGACGAGAACCGTGGTCAACTACGTGGGAGTCCAGCGACATAGCCATTACGCTAACTGCTGGTTCCCAAGATCTACCAATTTCTCATCCCCACTTTTTGAAATCATTAAATCTTTTTTTCTTCAAATTTTTCAGATCTACTTTCTGTAGCTGGAACATTACAGGACCAAATACTGTCCAGATCCTGAAACCCTGCTAATCACAGTCTTGATGAAATTATTTAGTGAGAGCATGGGAGAAAGTCTCTTTCCACCTGGCATCCAGACCAGAATTGGCCCTTATAAATGAAACATAAAAGTGCAGGTTTGTTCTTGGTTGTTTTTTTGTTGTTGTTGTTTTTTTTTTTTTTTTTTTTTTTTTTAAATTTTCACAGACAAAATTTTTTACCTGCCTTAAAAACAGACTGAGCCCTAGACTGAGTATAGCCCTGTGATCTATGGAACCTGGATTCCAGTGACAAAATTGTGCCATAATGCACTTTCCCTGCATAAGAGGAGGTCATGCCGAAGTATGCTGGCACAAACCCCCTGGGCAATGGTGAATCTCTGTCTGGCTGAGTTTTTGAAGTTCATTTAGAGTATTTCCAGATGTAATAATCGTGGTTCTAAAATGACTTAAGGAATATTTATTATGCTGTTAAATTTTGCTGAGACAAATTATGACTGTAGTTCATGATGTATAGTAGGTTATAACCTTGTGGGTTGATGTGTCTTATCTTTTAATAATGAAAATTAACGAGAGTACACTGTTATTTCTAAGGTGTTTCTCGGTCTTCAGGGTATGTGGGAGAACAAAACAGATTTTGGAGTTTACCTATTATAAGCTATTATCTGTTAGCAATGGGACCTGAGGATTTTCAGCCCCAGGGTTGGGGGAGTGGTCTCCTTCCCCCAAAGTCCCCTGCCACCACTGGAGAATTACCTTAAGGGTAGTCTTTCATCTGTAAAGCAATTGAAGGGATCAGCAGTTAGAGTAATGGCTATGTCAAGGAACTCCCATATAGCCGATGGTGGTTCGAGTCCCGGACCCGGTGGCTTAAACTCACACTGGGCGTGTGTACGTGTGTGCCCATTGTCTCGAAAGGAGAATGGAGGAGAAGGGATTGCAGTGTGGCCATCCTCCCTGGGGGGGTGATTTCTCACTTTCTATCTCTCTGTCTCTCTCTGTCTTTCTGGCGAGCGCACGTGCCCTATAGCAAAAACCTCTCAAAAAAAAAAAAAAACAATTGAATAAACTTTTGTGTTTGCAATAATAATGTTGTAATAGTTAAGTGTGTCAATCATTGTTCTTCTTTCATTTTGCTTCAATTTCTTCTAATTTAGGCATCCTTGTCCAGTGAAAGAGAGAGATCTATGTTTTTATTTGCTGTCTCTTATCACTGGACTCAGTGTTTACCCTGTAGTCCTCTGCTATAAATAATGTTGAAAATAAATGATGACAGATATTCTGCAAAGGGTGCCTTGATTCTCCTTGGTGCTTTGCTGCCAACTGAACTGAATCCCATCGATGCACATAAATAAACCTGAGTGTGGCAGAAAGCAGAGAACCAGGGGGAAAAGTCTATCCTATTGTGCAGGTAGGAGATAAGAGATTGCTCAGTGGTGCACAGGTGTGATGGGAGGAGGAAGGGAGGTGTGGGCACACTGGCACGATCTGCCTGACTGTTCTGCTCACCCAGGTGAGCTGGATGTATCTAGATCCAGGTTGGGGCCAGCCCAGAAATGGGGTGACTGTGAGCTAGCTCAGGGGGAAGGAGCGAACATACTAAGTATCTGTGTTGCAGCCCTAGTACTCTTTAGCAGGCTGCTGTTGGAGTCAGTTCCTGATTTTCTCTGTGCTGTTCATAGGAAAACTTAAAAAGTGATTCCCTTTCCTACGGAGAACCCTGCATTATTGCAGCATTAGTATTTTAACTTACAACTGTTGGGGTAGGAACTGTTAGAAATTCTGCTCCTTAAGAAAATTGCCATTAATGCTGAAAAGTGAATTCCAATCCAATTATCTGTCTATTTTCTCCATTCTCCATCACCATTGACTTAGACTAATATTTTATCAAATCGCCCACAATGCCCACCTCCAAATTTACTAATTGGAGTGTCCTTCTTTCTGCCCACAACTGCCTCCCCTTCAGGCTTGCTGGCTGATATTCTCAGACCTTGTGACTTGTGACCCTATATCCTTCTACTCTCTTAAAGTCCCCCAACCCACCTACCCATTTTCTCTCTTACTCAGTTTATGTTGCATGCTAATTTAGCTTAGTACTCCTATCAGCACCCTTAACTCCTTATCTATTTTTTTTTAAGTTTAGTCATCTGTTTATTCTATGAGTGAGAAAGACAGAGAGAGAGACAGAGAGACAGCAACTCTGACAGGTCTTGATGCCATGAAGCACACTCTGCCTAAGCCACCCCAGATCATGGGCTGGAGTGTGTCTAGCATGCTGAGGGAGGACTGTAGACATGAACTTGGAAGTTTTGCATGGGAGTCAGCATTGCAGAGTGTTGCATTTTACTGATAGGCCATCATTCAGCTGTGTTTTGTTTTGCTTTGCTTGGTTTTTTATCCTGGTAGGCAAAACCTCAACCTTAAGTGTACCCAGATACCTCTCTCCCTAGGCCAGTACTTGAACAGCCAAGTGCTGCCCAGGGAGGACTAATGTAATATAAATTGTGATCAATGCTGTCCTGAAATTCTTTTTGTCATTGTTGTTACTGTGACCCTCTACCCCAAATTCTCCTTCTACTCTATATAAAAAACAGAAACCAACAGGCAGCAAATCTCTGCTTTTTTTTTTTTTGAACCAAACATTTTGACTACCAAAGTCTACATTCACTCTATCCTTTTTCTTTCTGAAAGGGAAGCTGCCCGTCTATTCTAGGCCAATTCCTGCCCTGTACATCGTATCTTACTCTCTTTTGCTTTCTTGGGAACTCTATCCTGTTGCTTACATTTTTTTGTTTCTTTTGTATATGCAATCTCTCACTGCATCAGATTTTTAAAGTTCTAAGTCTCTTCCTTTGGAAAACAGTCCTCAATGCTGAATTGCCTTGTACTCCCATGTGACCTCAGAATCACTCTCACCAAGATTTCCAGTGACCATCATTCCCTCAGCAGAACTCAACCCCTCTACTAATGCCTTCACACTGTCTTTCTTTCACTGGGTTGTCAGGAAAGTCAGGATGCATTTTTGCGGTGAAAGACAGAAATAAGATGTCATGACTTTTCTGACAACCCAATAATTGTTGCTGTAGGGCCCATGAACTCTCAGAGACAGAGAGAGAAGGTGAGAAATCACTCCCCAGGGATTCTTGGCCATGTCATAATCCTTTATCCTCCACTCTCCTCTCAGTATTTTGGGCATGCATGCACATGCACTGTTGTGATTTTCAAGCTGCAGGCCCAGGATTCAAACTTCAAAGTTGGCCATGTAGGATACAGTGACTTAACTTCCATGCCATCTGCTAATCCTTTTCCCCACTTTCTTAATTTTTTAAAAATTAGTTTTTCAAATTTTTTATTTGTACAAATTTTTAAGTATTCACAGCAGCAGAGAAATTAGTGAAATAGTACCCCTAGGTAACTGTCAATCAATTGAACAATTTTTAAATTTTACCAATCCTATTTTATCAGTATACTTACAAACATACATATCTTTGTTGATACTTATTTTATTTTGCTTGGATTTTTTTCAGTTGCCGAAGGGCATGTGCTCTCCCTCCGAGGGAGAGAGGGAACCCCTCCAGTGGGGTGTGCTCATATCTCAATCCCTTCTTCTCCATTTCTCCATCCTGTCAGGACTTTGGACATGTAAACACACATGTCTAGCATGCTTTTTAAGTTGCTGGGGCCAGGATTTAAACTGCTGTTGGCCATATGGAATCCAGCTCCGTTAAACATTGGGCCATGAGCCAGCCCTGGAGTATTTTTAAACCAAATCCTTAACGTAAATGTAAAATCAATCTTATCATAATTAGCAATAGTAATCTTTTATGAACTTAAGATTAACTAATAAATGAATAATCATTCCTTAAAGTCATCTTGTATTCTTGTTAAATTCCCCAGATTGTCTCTAATATGTCCTTTGGCAATTAGTGTAAGTTGGAATCTAAGCTGTATCCACACACACTATATTTGACTTATGTGTCTATAAGTCTCTTTTGATCTGTAACCGTTCCTCCTCCTCTTCTTCCACACTAACTGTTGAACAAACCAGGTCTCTTGTCCTATGAAAGTGCACATTTTTTTTATCTTTTTTTTTTTTTGAGAGGTTTTTGCTATAGGTGCATGTGCTCGCCAGAAAGACAAAGAGACAGAGAGACAGAAAGCGAGAAATCACCCCCCAGGGCAGATGGCCACACTGCAATCCCTTCTCCTCCATTCTCTTCTCGAGATCTTGGGTATGCACGCACACGCACCCAGCATGAGTTTAATCCACCAGCTCTGGGACTTGAACCGCGATCAACTACATGGGTGTCCAGTGACATAGCCATTACGCTAACTGCTGGTCCCTGAAAGC